AAGTTAATATATTATAACAATTTAAAATGAATTAAAAATAATAGTTTATCAAAAATTTTTTAAATTATAAACATTTTGATTAATTAATAATTATATTATTCTACTCACCAACATGAAGAATCGGCTTGGTCGCCATCTCATGAAGTAATTGGTCCACATACTTTGAATCTTCGGAGTATAACTGCAACCTCGAGATTTGAAAATGGAATTTCTCCAAAGTTGTGCTATTCTTTCTGCAATAAAAGAATTTTTATGTTTCTACAATACCACACATTTGTATTAACATGAAATGTAAATTGAAATTATACATGCAGTATGTACAAATTAATAATATGTACTATATATCAGAGAAAGGAAGTGACTTGTTATTTTTTATTGTTACTGTATTTTAACAATAATTTGATAATGACGTTGCAAACTCCGTATCAGGAAATACGGTAATGTATCTCGGCAATAACAACACGCGTAACGATTAGCGTGAGACCGACCGTTTATGTGAGTCAAGTTTTTCAATATCGCGATTATATGTGAATCGAGTTAAGCGTTAAAGTTCGAGACTTTAGAGATTAATGCCCATTTTAGCCAATATATATTAGCTTTATATTTATATTAGCTAGTCTCGGTTCAATTTACTCTTCGTCTTTTTCTAATCTTTAGAACTAGAAAAAGACGAAGAATAAGTTGAACTGAGATTAAAATTAATTTACATTAGTGGAAACGAGCATAAGACATCTGTCATTCCGATTCGATACAGCGCTATATATACGTTCTGCTTTAATTACATAAATTCTCTGCTTCACAAATACAAATTCACTACTTTAAAACACAAATTTACTGATTTAAAAACACAGATTCATTGTTTCAAAAACAAAAATTTACTTTAAGCACACAAATTTGCATCAGTAGTGAATTTGTGTTTTTAAAGCAGTAAATTTGTATTTTTAAAACAGTGAATTTATGTTTGTGAAGCAAAGAATTGCAAACATTGCAAAATGGTAGAGGACTTTCGATTCAGTTTAATCCGTTCTATCAGCACACGAAATATTTGATTATTCTGGGATACCCTGTATATAAACATTTAGTGTACAAATATGAATTTATGTGAAGTGTTAAAATATCAAATATTAACATATTTGGACTGTATACATTAAATTTTAAAATTTGTACATAAATTTATATTGAAAATTTTATTTTATAATGACAGCAATTATCTTCTATCAAATTGCAATTATCTTCTATCAAAATTTGCTATATAACAAAATTTACGGTAAAAGTTTACCTTTATACAGCCCGTCCCAAATGACTTCTCACCGATCTTATTATTGATCTTTAAGAAAATCAAGGTCATTTATTTTTAACTCGTTATTCATTAAAAAAATTATTTAAAAAACTGTCCCTTTTCCTTGATTTTTTACACGAAGTAACTTTCATCCTACCTCTTCTCTTGCACAAATCTATACATTGTACAACAGTATAATTATAAAAGTTGTGCGCCCTTTAGCGGGGGGAGGGCGGGGGCAGGTGGGATAAAAGTCGCTTTGCATGAAAAGTCGAAACCTACGTGCAACAGTATCTATAGTTATGGAAGTCGCGCTTCTTCATAAGGGGATAGATGGAATGGAACTGGCATCGTCTGAAAAATCGTAAAATATATTTTAAAGCAGGAAATGTCTATTTTATATAGTGAGAAAAAAAACATCTTTTTTTAAACTTTTTTTGTCAATAACTTTTTATTGAATAATGAGCGATGGAAAAGATCAATGACCTTGATCTTCTGGAAATTTCAAGATTAACATCAAGGTCAGTGAGAAGTCATTTGTAAGTAAAGGTAGTGTAAAGGTAAACTTTTATTAAATTTGCTCTATAACGGCAAAAATCTCTTTGTTCCTTTCCGCCCTTAATTTTTGGATTAAATTGTGTGTCAAATGATACTCTACAATGAGATATTAATTACAAAGAAGTTTCAAGTTGAGGTAACAATTGTTATTATAGCTGCGAGAGGGGAGGGAGGAGTCATGTATTATGTCTATGCGAAAATTCGTTTTTTTTTATATTTCCAGCTCTGATAATAATTGCCATCTCATCTTCAAACTTCTCTGTGATTAATGTGCTAATATAAGATAACATTTGGCACACAGTTTAGTTCCAAAATTAAGAGCCTAAAAAATAGACGATTTTCGCGGTCATTTTTTGCCGTACCGTAAATTTTTTCCAAAATTTTTCATTAAGAAATATTCCAGATAACCAAGCGAGATTTAGCATATGGAACAAATTGATGCACTGCATGTATTGTTTTCTATTTGTCGACAATTTACTGCATTGAAATTTAATGTGAACTAAGTTAGGAGGGCAAATAGATTTCATGAGTTTCATTACGAAATTGTAAGAGTATACATTAAAAAATAATAAATTTATCATGTTGACAACAAACTGATGGCATGCCATGCACGCATGATGACAACTTGTTAGCAGTTTGCTGAATTCTAAGGAAGATTTTACAAAACAACAGACAGTTTGAAAACACCTTGGCTTTAGTTTGGTAAAATTGAATGCGGAATAACAGCAAATGGCAATATATTGCTCTTATTTGGCTATCTGGACAGTTTAGAATGCATCCGAAGACGCATGTTCAAAATTCCACTCGAAATCCACTCGAAACTCAATTAGTAGCCCTATAGGTTGGCCAAGCAATTTCAGCATTGTTAACGCCTTTCTTGTTTTTCTATCTCCTTTTTCTCTCGTGAAAGAATTTATAAGTTCTCCATTTTGTACACGTTCAAGAATAGTTAAGATCTTACCGCAATCAAAAAACGTTATTCCTTGCAGGTAAGGAAATATCTTTAAGCTTAGAACTAAGAAGGATCCAAATATCATGCTTCACAAGCACAGCTAGTAATCGTAGAGCACTCAATTTCATTGAATCTTCGTGCCATCTCGGATCATCAACTCTGGACTTCGATCCTCACAATATCTGACACACTAGAGAGAGAATCCAATAGCGATTTGATCACTGGATGACTTAATAAAGTTACAGATTGATATACTCTAACTATAATATCATTCTCGAATTTTTACAGACTACGGTGAATACCATCGCCATGTTGGTTGCTAAGTCTTCGTTTTCTATACAATTATACCATGATTAACAATTTTATATGTTATTGAATTAATCTGTATTTTCGTTGCTGTCAGTGTGCTTGTGAAGTGATGCAGCCTCGTACTTAATAGTTTAATATTATTGATTGTTTGTAAAAGAAAAATAATACTTGTTTCATTAGTCGTTATTTGTACTTGTATAATTTCTTGAACATTAAATTCTTTACGATTTTTAACAAAATTATTATAAGGCTAATTTTAGCGTGATTTTATTATTTTGTGTTATCGAATATCTTCCTTGCATTCAAAATCCCTTTTTTGTTTAATGCATTATTTTTGTTTAATACATTATTTTTAATAAATATAGATTTTCAATAATATAAGCTCAAACAACGTACGTAAACTTATCTTTGCTCAATCGTTTCTTTCCAAGCTGTTGTTTTTTTATCTTTTACATAAAATTATTGTAAAGAATACATTACTAAATTCATAATATCAAATTATAATTTAAGTTACAATATTTTTTATTATTTCTATAGATTGCCACATTCCTACTTAATATGTTGTTAATTTAATTAAAATCACATAACATTTAATAAAATATATCTATATATTATATGACAATGTATAGGATATCCCAGAATAACTATCAAATATTTCATGCGCAAATAGAATGAACTAAATTCTCTCATTGTCAGAAAAAAGTTCTGTCTATCATTTTACAATTTTTTCAATAGTTAACGAGATTAATCTTTAAAGATAGTCGAATATACGCATCCGGCCTATTACTGTCAAGAGTATATGCCTACCGATCGCTTGGCGCCTGGAGGCCACGTGGAGCGGGAATGCGGACCTAGCGTCCTGCACCGCGAGTCTTAAAACGTCAAAACTCGAACGGCGCGCTCCCCTATTCGGTATATTTACCGTTTATTTATCTCTACATATACGCCTTAAAAAATACAAGAAATACAGCCTGATTAATGAGAAAAAAATGACCAAATTTCGAGTTCAAGATCGATTTTAACAAAGTTCTACATTAAAATAAGTTATTACTCCCCTTCAATTATTATAGGTTTATTCGCCCGGAACAAGATCCAGTTGAAATTTTCCTGGAATCTCCTACAGGGCTTTTAAAAGTTGCATTTAACTGAACTACAATACATTTTTAAGAATAGAAAGAATTCTTTTACAATATACGTTTTTAAAATATACTTTGTGATCTTGTGATCCTCAAATCAAATACTTCAATTTGGCAATAAAAAACTCTTTATTAAGATAATAAAATGAGTGTATAATGCCAACGGAAATATGATTTAATTAATTGTAATAAACTATATAAAATAAGAACAAAAATAGGAATAAAACTTCAATGGAATCATAGTTAATAATTCAGATAATCTTTGATAAACTATCGAAAATTTTGATAATAATACAAATAGAACACGTGAACAAATGTTCGGAATTAAATTGTTATAAAAATATCTTTTAATGAAAGAATATATCGACAGAAAGATGACTAAAAGACGACAAATGTCGCATTGTTAATCTTTATAGCCTTACGATAATATAAACTCCATACGATAACTACTTTTAATTATCTAAGATTTGTTTTAGTTTTTATATTTTGACATATATAGCATTCAATAACATCAGATATCAGATATTTAAATTAATTTTACACAAAATGAAATTGCATGACTATCAATATACAGCCCATTTCTGGATCCTGTAATGTTTGTCCTATGTGCAAGAGCCATTATCTTTCATCATAGTCCTCTCTGGGGATTCGCTTTTAAAAAATATTTTATTAATATTTATTAGAACATGGATGAAATTTCTCATAATGCTACATCTTTTATTCTATCTTATATAATTTTCACGAAAAAGTAAACTCCACCGCATCCGTCTAATAACGAACTCGCGTACTGCTTGCGGATAAGTGATGAAAAATATCAAAATAATGGAAGAAAAAGTATCTTCTTTATTATTGTTTATTATATCTTTTCAGTAATATGAAAATCTTCTATTTTTTAATCGATTTTTCGCTGCCGAACGACAACCATAGAAAAATGATGACCATAGAAAAGATGTCTTTTAAGTTCTTTTCAACTAAAAGACGTCTTATAGATCGTCGATT